AAACCTGTACTCTGTGTCAGCAACTCCTGTCAGGCCTGACAAACTTGCTACACCTAACACATTGCTGTCATAGTATCTGTAAAGAGTGTCATGTGGAATCTTCAGTGGGAGGCTGGGATCACGCTAGTCATTGATGTATGTACTGATGATATTTTAAGTGTTTTATGTCTGTGTGCTTACAATGTGTTCTTAAAATTTGTATCAAGGTGTTACTCCCCAGCAGAGTGGAGAAACGGGTTTCCTGCCAGACCAGAGATGTTTATTCATCCATCTGTTGAAATGTAAATTGAACATTGTCTCATTCACAAGCACCAGTATAGCTAAATGCAGATTTAACAGGAAGAGGAGAACAGCGGGGGGGGGGGGGGGGGCTTTTTTTGGAATGCATTGCAGATGTATATTTGGACTATAACTGGGGGACAGGAACAGCATTCATAGATTCATAGATTCTAGGACTGGAAGGGACCTCGAGAGGTCATCGAGTCCAGTCCCCTGCCCGCATGGCAGGACCAAATACTGTCTAGACCATCCCTGATAGACATTTATCTAACCTACTCTTAAATATCTCCAGAGATGGAGATTCCACAACCTCCCTAGGAAATTTATTCCAGTGTTTAACCACCCTGACAGTTAGGAACTTTTTCCTAATGTCCAACCTAGACCTCCCTTGCTGCAGTTTAAGCCCATTGCTTCTTGTTCTATCCTCAGAGGCTAAGGTGAACAAGTTTTCTCCCTCCTCCTTATGACACCCTTTTAGATACCTGAAAACTGCTATCATGTCCCCTCTCAGTCTTCTCTTTTCCAAACTAAACAAACCCAATTCTTTCAGCCTTCCTTCATAGGTCAATGTGCTATTACATTGTGCTATTACATGCATGAAAATGGAATCCCAACCTGTCCTGGATGAGAAATTGCTTTTGACATGGATTTTAGTCTGTTAGCCTTAAGTTTAGACTCCAAGAAGTGTGCTATACTTCTGTTTTATATGTGATCATTTCTGTTTCTATTATCCTTTCTTGGTATCTTAATCTTTGATAATAAATTTGATTCTTTCATTATAACTATATCTCTGTGGTGTGATAAAGGACCTGATCCTGAGTTGTGCCAGTGAAACTGTGTGTACGCTGTTCCCTTGAGAATAGCAAACCTAGGAGTTACCACACACTTGATCTTTGCCATAAGGCCAAGTTATTGTGAGTGCCCAGTGACTGGGGCTGGACGCTCCATGGTGATACATCAGAGGAGCTCAGAGACTGGGGTACACCAAGTGTTAACCTGCAAGGCGAAGTAAGGGCTAGCAAAGCTCAGAGGAGATTATTTGAGTGGTTAACAGATTGGGGGTGTAAGGGAGCTGACACCCAGTTTAGCACCAGCAAATCAATCTCTCTCTCTCTCTTATACACACACACACTCTCGCGTGCGCACACACACACAGGTGGTGCAGTGTGTGGGGGGAGAGGGAACATGGTGCCTCACAGTTGTGGACATCCTGAGAAAGCGTCAAGCACTTTATTAAACTCTCAAATGCAAGTTGGTTTTGAATCCTTAACTTCTTTAATTTTCTTGCTGGTGAAGTGAGCTTGTACTAATATTTGACCACTAGTTCTCTCATGTGAAAGACAGGAAATGTGGTGGAGTTTTTTGTTTGGTTTTTTTTGGTAGATGAAACCCAGGAGTGGGAGTCAGGAGACTAGAGTTCTGTCCTCAGCCATACATAGACTTCTTGTAGGTGTTAAGTCACATGACCTCTTGAAGTCTCTATTTCCCCATTTGTAACATAAGGATAATACTTCCTACTTCACACAGACAGAGTGATAAGTATAAATATTAATTCTTTAAAGTGCATTGAGATTTTTTGCATAGAAGGCAAAATAGAAATGCAAAATATTATTTATTTTACATTCTCCCATGGAACTCATCTCTTACAAATCCAAAATCCGGTGTTTCATGTGCAATCTGCTTATGTGTCGTTTAAAAAAATAAATAAATAAGGATAATTCATAAGTCACTGGCACAGTCATGGAGTTTATGCTGTACTGGCTCGTATATTGAGTTAATCTCTCAGAGCCAGGCAGGTAAACTGGGTGCTTAAGTGTCTGATACAATGCATTTTGCAACACATTACATGAGGGATATTCTGATTTCCAGCTTCAGAGTTCATTAAGATAACATAGCAGACCATCCAAAGGACAACATACATTGCTTGAAATGTACCATACTTCCTTCAAGGAATATACAATGTATGGTATAGCTTTAACTTTTAGAATTTGCACTTTAATGAGCTAATTTGTCATAATTTTTCAAACATCAGTTTACACCAGCTGAAGATATTCCCCTTTGTCTTTATGAACTGATTTGATTCCAACATTTGGGTTATGCAGGGGATTGTTCTATACCAACTTCTATTAGAAATCAGTCACGATAAGGTGTTTTCTAAAAATCTCTGTGGACTTTTCTTTTATACCATAAATTGGACACAGGGCCTTGTTTTTTTCCTAAGCTAAATTTGGTTTAAGAAAGAACAGCAGCATGGAAAACGGTTGTTAAGGCGACCTATGTGTTTTACTTTCACACCTCGGCAGGATTGTTTAAGATGGACCAGGATTCAATAAAGTAAAATCAGGGGTCAATTTCCCCATTTGTACATAAGCGGATGTTATCTGTAGATTTACAGCTGGATTATGTTGTTTTGCTTAGAAGTAATCATGAATCAAAACTTCCCCAACTTTCATGGCTGGCCTTACAATTAGCTGGACCCCCAAGGGGATTATCAGACTGAGAGTTGCCTTCCCTTTAAATCCCATAGGCAGAGAGGAGGAGATTGTACCGTGAGTTGCTCCCACATCTCATCCTGTTACAAAGTGTGTTCACATGTAAGTATGGAGTGGAGAGTGTGCTTTGTATGCCTTCTTCTACAGCACTGTTTATAAAATTGGTATGTTTGTTTTTTTAAATCTGTAACAGGAAGTCAGGGAGAAGAGGGAGGCTGGGGAAAGTCTTAGGCAGAAGCTTGACAGTGAAGTAGGGAGCAGGAGAAAAAACTTCAGTATATAACTCTTGTCTGTACTTTTCTAATTCCTTGTGTGGTGTTAGAAGAAAGTGGATCTTTCTGTCTCTTGTCACCAATGGTGCATGGCAGGATTGCTTGTGCTTAATCCTGGTCCCTCTAACCTCCCCAGCGGGTTTCGGTATGTACCTAGATAGAAATATCACCAAACTTCTCCATTTTTCCCCCCAAGAAGCCTCATGATTCTCCCTCCACCCCACCCATTGTCTTTTTTGCTTTGCTTTCAATTCTGTTTTTGCCCTGGTGCTTGTCCCTGCCAATGCAGTGATAGTTACGCTGTTGATATTGATGTTGTTGTCATTGGCAACAATGAAATGTTAACACTCATGAAATGTTCCATTAGTACCTTTTAGGGTATGCAATAATAGAACATCCAGGGTTTGAAAAACTGGCCCAGACATTAGCCTGAAGAATAAACCTTCTCAAGAAAGAAAAGTCAAAAAGAGTGGGGGCGGGGCAGGTGTACAGCACCCCCAAAGAGGTGTGGAGCAGTGCTCTGGTGAGAAGCTTGTCCACCCATTCACAGCTGATTGGTATGAGAGGGTGCAGGAGTTCTTACTGGGGTGTTCAGGGACTCCATTTTTGTACTTGCCTGTTATTATGAGGTGTCTGAAATTCTCCCAACTTCCACCTTCTTCTATATTTTCTTCTCAACCCTCCTGGCTACTGTGTGTGTCTGTGTCTATACATGTATGCACCTCTCCTTTCTATTGTGAAGGAGGATGGGACAGTGCTGTCCTTCCAGGGGACTGCCCTCCATTTTTGGGTCCTTTTTGGCAAGTGTATTGTTTATAATGTATTTTATAGCAGCAACAAGAGTGTAAGGCTCTTCACTGAGTACATATAGAAGACTTGGAGATTACAATCTAAATGATATACTTGACAGACAAGTGTGAATGTCACATACAAGGGGATGGGGTGAAGGATGCAGGTTATGGAAAAAAGATTACTTGGTTACTGCCGGTCCCTGATCTGCGACCACTAAGCTGTGGTAGAGGCATTGAAGCTGCCTTCAGCAGACTCAGGAAAACAATTCTGTATCAGTTCACTTTCCTGAAGATGATCTTTGCTACTACATCTAAGGAAAAAATTAAAAGAGAAATAAAGCTTAGAATCTATATCAACTGATAGTTGGGTTCTCCTCCCCTCAGAACTCACATCTCACGCCATTAGCTGTGAAGCCTATTGATATTAATTCTTTTCCACAGCAGCAACACCATATATAACTGTCTGATTACATACGCTATAAATGTATGCTATATATATTCATACATGCTAACAAATTCAAGCTCTGAGTTTGTATTGTAGAAAGGAGTTTCTGTGCACGGGTTTCTCCGAATCTGTTAGGTGAGAGGTGTGTGTGTGTGTGTGTGTGTGTGTGTGTGTGTGTGTGTGTGTAAAAAACGCTGTGCATTCTGCTTTCCTCCTGACATCCTGGTTGCTATAGCACAGTGATCTATTTGTGAACACATAGAAGATCATTGCTATAGTTAAGAGAAACAGTGTTTCCTGGCCATAACTTCCTGGGCAATCTCTCTTTCTGGAGAGCTGAGTGCAAGCTTTAACGGAAATTTAATCAGGCTCCTTGGGTCTCCAGAAGTGAAATGTAATGTTCAGCCTCCTTGTAGTTTGTGGCTTTTCACGAACCGTATTTAATAACATTTAAAAATAGTTTCTCTATTTAAAACTGTCCAATGCATGACTATTTTTCACAGTACATTCCAGTGCTTCAGCCATCTTTCTAACAGGCTGGCTAGCTGTACAGTGTGCGGTGGCATTGTTCTATGTTTATGCTTTTGGTATATGTATATTCGCATTCTCTCTGACACAGACATATTTTCATGCACCTGCTGAGCCAGGCAATACATAGGAAATGAAAGCAGTGTTAGAATTCTGGCTGAACTGTGCTGTATTTTTCTTTCCCTCCCTGCAGGTGTGAATGAAAGAGAGACTCTGCAATATTTAGTGTCCAGTTTTACTGGCTTTGAAGAACAGCGGCATTTACAATGCCGCCTCCTGCTGATATAGTGAAGGTGGCTATAGAATGGCCAGGTGCCTTCCCCAAGTTGATGGAAATTGATCAAGTAAGTGCCTATTTCTATGTACTAATATAGATATATATGTTAAAGTGTGTACACATGTTTACTTAGATGCACCTGTATGTTTAACAGTATGGATTCATATAAATAGTGCATATAGAATGTGTGTAACCTTCTTGCTGTATTGCTCAGTTTGGTGTTTTGATACGTTTGGCTGTTTGTTTTTTAGCAGGTGTTTAAAAGAGGCATTTTTTCTCATTGTGTGACCCATTTAACTTCGCTGTGCCTCAGTTTTTCTATCTGTAAAATTATAATAAGGATGCTTAAATCCTGATGCAAAGTGCTTTGAGATCTACAGATGAAAAACCATGAGGTGAATGCAAAATATTTCCATCATAAATAGCTGCAGTGAGCTCTGAGGTCTGGATACCTGACTGGTAATATACTGTGCAAACAGGAGAATTTTGCGGTTCTACGCAGATGCCATATAGGCAGTGTCCTGTTCAACAAGGGGACTTTGAGTAAATATCTCAAATACATATACTGGGAGGAAAATACGTCTTACGTTTGAGGGTGTGGTAGGAGGGAGCTGAAGGGGTGCAGTAACAAACTGTTTTTAAGGCAGTATTTAGAGAGAGACATTAAACTTATGGCGGGAAAACCTTTTGTGGAAATGTATATGGAACAAAACTTAAGTAACTTATATGTAAATGTTACATGAGTGGCATTGTTTATCATATATTGGCATATATATTAGTAATATTAAAAGTGGCATTTTTCATAATATATTATATGTGGGCCATACTAGATGAATCATACAGGTTGTTACCTGTATAGAATATCACAGGGTGAAAAGCAGATAATTATTATTTCAGTAAATAGTATTTCATACAAAAGAAAACCCTTGAAAGTTTTCCCCAATGCACCTAAGTCCTGATGCATCCAAACACTTCAGTATATTCTTTATGTTGTATTGAAATGAAGGAAATGTAAGAACATGCTGAAAATGTTCTGCTGAACGGGGCTCCTAACTTCTGCATTTCCTGTGATCTGTTTCACACTATTTTTAGTCCCATTGTAGTATAGGGCTATCGGGCAAGTGTCTGTTGGCATTTGCAACAAAAAAATACTGCAAAATTGGTCAAAACAATAGCAGCCTGATTTTTAGAGGCTGCATTGCACTAAGTGCTGTGTAAAATACTTCCTGCCCCAAAGTGCTTACAATGTAAATAGACAAGACAGGCAAAGGGTGGGAAAGGAAAGGAGCACAGAGAAGTGAAATGACTTACCTAAGGTCACACAGTGACCGAGACAGGAATAGAAATTAGTTCTCCCGAATTACCGTCCATTTTCTGATCCACTAGACCACACTGCCTCCGAAAGCTCTAAAAACTCCACCTACCTGACAGGGTGAGTTTCATTGAATAACCCTGAGGTTATATAAACGAAACAAGAATTAAAATCCCACCAAACACATTTCTTTCTTGCAAGACAAGATAGTATTTTAAAAGTACAAGACCGTCTTGTTGCCAGGAATGCAACTGACTTGATCTTAAACGATTTGTTGCAGGGAGTGTGCTGCCTTCTGTGTTTGGAAAACACCAAGCAAATTTTGAGTGCTATTAATATCAATCAATCATGACTGACAAAGATTACAGAAAAAATTCTCTGTAGTTTTTTTCAGATCTGTGCACTTGACCACTTTTGGTGTCGGTTGAGTTTACGCTTTTCTTGGAAGAGTTAGATGGCCGTTCCATGAAAGCATCCTACAGTGCACAATCAAATGTAGGGCTGATCCTGCAAATCCTCTACATACAAAACTCCCACTGAAGTCAGTGGGAGTTTCTGGCTAGTCAGGGTTTGCGAATTTGGACCCTCAAGTTTTCAAGCTCTGGTGGGTTTTACTGGTTTTTTGTTGTTATTGTTTTCGCTTCTAAACATTGTGTCCCAAAAGTGAAAAAAGATTTAGATTGCTTCACTCTTCTCTAAAATGTAGTAACGGGAAATATCTGATCTCTCACATTTTGGTATGAATGGGTCTTAAACTAAGCAGTAGTGGGCAGCACTGGGAATGTGCATAGGTGATAGGTACAATGTGTGAAATATCATTTTGATAATATAATTTTTATTACACTCAAATAAAAGAAGGAATGTGTATCACTGGCTAGATACATCAAAGCAAATCTGCAACACCAATGAACACATCAGAATATGGCCCAAAATATGGAAAAAAGGACGGAAAATTGTTTGAATACTTTTGCTTAGCAGATAATGTTACCTCTCTCTCATTGTCATGTGTGAGGGTTTTTTGTTTTTTTTCTTAAATACTTCACTGTAGAAGACAAGTGAAATCTTCCTTCCTATCTTGGTAAACCACTGGCATGACAAAGGTCTCCAAAACTGTCATTGACAAGCTACCAGTGTGTGTTTGCATTATTACTAATCAGATTGATAAATAGATTATTTTGTTTTAAATAGGGAGACAAAATCAGCTCTTGGTTACACTGGTATAAACTTGGAGAATCCCTTTTTACTTTTTGAAGTTAATCCAGATATAAAATATTTTACATTTATAATCATATGAGTAGGAAACCTGAATAAAAAATATTTAGTTTCACGTATTTCAAAAATTGGAAAAAGTGACAGGAACACTGTCAAGTGAAGCACATTACAGGAACCATATGTATTGCTTTATATTAATGCCTTCTCTAAGCCTTGACTTCCTAGTCAACGACCTAAACTTTTCACAGTGGTTTCCTGAGTTTTGGGAGTGTGCTACTTCTTTATTTTTTGGCTAGTATTGCTGATAAATGTGGTAGAATATAACGTCAATGGATTTTCTTTCTTTCTGAGATGTCTGGAGTTGCTGTATTGTACTTCTTCACAATCAAAGTGACAATTGAGATATTTTTCCAAGGGGATTCTTAAGTAATTTTAGGTCACCAATTTAGGGTCAAATCCTTAGTCGGTATAAGTTGGCACAGCTCCATTAAAACCAACTCACTGAAGTCATTGGCACTATTTCAATTTACACCATCCCAAGTCTGGCCCTTAGATTTTAAACACAGATTATAAATGTTTTAATGATTTAAGTGATTTTTTTTTCAATTCAGTGAAGTTTTTTTATTTTACACAACAGAAAATGAAACTGATGATAAAGTGGAAACTGGCCAGTGTAGTTTCATTGTCCAACCTTAATGAAATGCAATAAACAGCATATATACTGAAAATAAACACTTGTCATTTAAATACGAGAAGGGATTGTTAGTGGTGCTCATAAGGAAATTGTATGTCTCTTTCACTTAATGCAACAATTATTTTGTAAGAATAATGGAAAGCCTTTTTCTTTTCTTTTTTCCGGAACACAGCCATGGTACAACAAAACCTTTTGGAAAGGGTGGTCCAGATACTTTAATATGCAAGATATAATTCAGTGCATGAATGTACAGTATAATTAACATCAGGAATCAATCACTGTTCAATTACAATGGATGATGAAAAATATTATTTCCTTTCTTCTAGTGGGGCTGTAGTGGTTAGAGCTAGAAGAGTTGTGGTGGCAGAGAGCCATTCGGAATAAGAATAACACTACAGACAAGTATTAAATTTTATTAGAGTCTGGCTGCAGATTTTCTAACCACATTCTGATTGGCTGTGAACTAACTTCCAGTGGTGCATGGCTGGGACCTCTTCACTGACAAAAATAACTCCTTTGTCTACTATGTTAAGACAAACATAGAGAGGAGGCAGAAGTTAATGGAGTAGGGGTCAACGGTAATAGAGGCGGGCTGCAGTAAGACAGCATGGCATTTAAAATTAATGAGCTATGTGGCGGAGCGAAGACTCACCGGTGCGGCGCCTCCTGCTGGTCGTCTTGGGAATAGCTCTTTCCAGCCCGGAGCGCCCTCTGCAGGCCAGTGTCTCGCCTGCCGCTGTCCCCATGTCCTTCTCAGACCCTGGTGCCCTTTGCCCGGGGGTTCTGTCCTCCACAGTACCCCCCTACTCTGGGTCTCCTCTCCCAGGGGAGCCCCCAACCCCCTATCCCCACCTTACCTCAATGGCTACTGCCAGTCTCCATCTAGCCCCCTGCTCACTGGGGCAGACTGCAGTCTGTAAACTACTCATCGGCAAGGGGGGTTGGACCAGCTGCCTCTGCCTATTCCTGGGCCGCCCCTCTGCAGCCCTAGTACCCTTGTGGACCCTTAACTCGGCCTGTGGCTTAGCTAGGCTGGAGCTCCCCAGCTCCCTCTGCCCTCCCCCAGTACTGCTCCACCTCAGGTACCCTGCTCAGCTCCCAGGCAGCCAGGTCCTTCCCTCTCAAAAGCTGGAGAGAGAGTGTGTCCCTTCTGAGCTCCTGGCTTACAGCCCTTTTATAGGGCCAGTTGTGGCCTGATTGGGGCGTGGCCTCAGCTGTGGCTGCTTCCCCAATCAGCCTTTCCCCAGCCACAGCCCTCTCCCAGGGCTGTTTTAAGCCCTTCAGGGCAGGAGCGGGATGACTACCCCGCAACAAGCTATAATCAAATGCTGTAATAATTAACTTAGCAGGATGTGCGGTAATAGGAGACTTCTGCTACTAAATAGTACTTAATAGTGTACGTGGTGCAGTGCTGAAGGCTCTTGTTCTTCAGCCTTATATCCTAGAAAGAATCATATGTATGCAAACCCTGTTGTGCTATTACAATAGTGGGCCTGGGAGGGGGCCCTCACTCGTAAAAGTGTCCCTTTCTGTCCCTGATAGAGCATTGCTTCCATACTAATGCCCTTCCTTCACAATCAGCAGCATAGGCAATACCCAGGGATGCTTTTTAAGGCCATGTCTACACTAGCACTTATGTTGGCAAAATTTTTTTCTCTCGGGGTGTGAAACCCCCCCCCAGCGACATAAGTTTTGCCACCATAAGCACTTGTGTGCACAGTGCTGTCTCATGCCGACGTAGCTACTGCCGCTCGTTGAGCTGGTTTTATTATGTCGACGGGAGAGCTCTCTCCTGTCAGCATAACACCACTACACAAGGAATCTTACAGCAGCACATACTAATTAATTT